AAGAGAAAATGTTTGTTCTGTAGGGTCCTCTGTTTCATAACAACACGTAAACAATCTCAGAAGGGAAAAATGTTGGCGATCTGTGGTTGTTACATTAAGATGAACTCAAAAAGTGGAGTAAGTTATCCACACTTCTCTTTAGTTTGTGTGCATGTGCAAGTGTCTGTCAGTATGTGTGTGTGAGTGTAAGTGTGTACACGTGTGAATCTGTGTGTATGTGTGAGTGCACATCTATGAATGAGTATTGTGTACATCTGTGAATGAGTGTGTGTAAGGAGTGTGTGTGTGAGTGTGAGGGAGTATGTGTGTGAGTGTATGTGTGTGCATGTGTATATGTGTGAGTGCACATCTATGAATGAGTATTGTGTTCATCTGTGAATGAGTGTGTGTGTGTGGAGGGAGTGTGTGTGTGAGTGAGTGTTGTGTGAGTGTATATGTGTGTGCATGTGTGAGTCTGTATATATGTGTGAATGCACATCTATGAATGTGTGTGTGCATCTGTGAATGCATGTGTGTGAGAGCGAGTTTGTGTGTGAGTGTGTAAGAAGTGTGTGTGTGTGGAGGGAGTGTGTGTGGAGGGAGTGTGTGTGTGAGTGTGAGGGGGTGTGTGTGTGTGGAGGGAGTGTGTGTGTGGATGGAGTGTGTGTGTGTGTGTGGTGCATATGTGCACATGAGTATGGAGGTGACCAGCAAATGAAAGAGGCCAGAGCAGGACAATAGGCGTCCTCCTCTCTGCCTGCTGTTGCCTTGAACAGGTTCTCACCCTGAAACAGAAGTCTGGCCAGTGAGCTCTAGGGAGTAGTCCATCTGTAAGCTAAGACCTACCTTTATTCAGACTTATACCTAGGAGACAAATTAAATCCCTGTCCCCAGTCTGCAGAGGCTGCGAAACCAGACAGGGCCGATGGGCCTCCTGATGAAATCCTGACCCCCATCTCCTCTCAGACAAGGTCACACTATACAGCCCCAGAATGCCCTGGAATCCACAGAGATCTGTCTGTCTCTGCCTCCGACGTGCTGGAGTTCCAAGCACACACCACCACCCCTTTCTGGGGCATAAACATTCTTGATTAGCCAGGTTCAAACCTTGAGTGGATTCTGGAAAAACAACTCAAGCCCTTTATTCAAGGAGTTTATCCCCAAGTTTGTTTGGGCTTTACTTGATTTCATTATTATTTTGCTTTGGGGCTTTTGTTTGTTGGTTTTTGTTTGTTTTGTTTTTGAGACAGGTAGAGTTTAAGAGAGTTAGAAGTTGAAGGTTGACCTCAGCTATATAAAGAATTTGAGGTCAGTCTGGGCTATATAAGACTTATCTACAAATAAAAACATAAAAACTAATTAATTGGTCAATCAAGTAATTAAGTCTCTTAATTACACCCCCTCATCTACCAGCTCTTCCTCAGGTTAACTTTCTGTGGATGTCAGGTTACAAAACCTGCATTCTATGCCATATGATACCTCCTGTGCTAATTAGTCCAGTTTCTGTTAATACAATAAAACACCCAAAATGAGATTTTGTTGTTGTGTTCATTTAGCTCAGTTTGGGAGACTGAAAATCCCAGTAGCATAGAGGGCTTCACAGCAAAGACCAGCACAGAACAGGGGCGTATGTTAAGGAAGAGATCGCATGGTCACACAGAAGTGGGGAGTGATTTAGGGTTTGGGCTTGGCCATAACTCTCTCTCACAGGGAGCTCAGACGTCCTGGGACAATGACCTAACCTCCTTCCGTAGCAGCCCACAATGACCCATGGACTTCTGTTCTCACCTTGTCATCCAGACTGGTCCTGAACTGGTAGTGATGCTCCTGCCTGAGCTCTCAGGATACATGAGCCTGGTCTAGACTCTACATCTTTAAGATTCCATACTATCACCCAACAGCATCTCCCAACGAGCTCCTAACAGAAAGAATTAGTGGGCAGCTTACACCCAAACCACAGGAGTAACAAACATTGGGGGCAGATGGAGCCTGTGTGTCCAGGTAGGACACAAGAGGACTTCACCCGCTCTGATGCTGTGGTTTGCTGTCCTCTGGAGTCTGAGTCCAGTTGGCTAGGACTTGGAATTGTCATCAAGCTGTGAGATTGGTACCAAAGGAAGCTCAATGGTGCACATTAGAAAGAGGCTCCCTCCGGGCAGTGGGGCCGCACACCTTTAATCCCAGCACTTGGGAGACAGAGGCAGGCGGATCTCTGGGAGTTCGAGGCCAACCTGGTCTACAGAATGAGTTCCAGTAAAGCTAGGGCTACACAGAGAAACCCTGTCTCGAAGAAACAAAAACAAAAACAAAAAGAGAAAGAGGTTTCCATATGTCTGGCTTTTATGTCCAGGAGTCAGACTCAAACCAAAGAAAGAGGAAAGAACATCTAGGCAATGCGTGGACAATTTTGAGACCTAACTTAATTTATAGTTATGGGAAAAACTACTTAAACATGAATAAATGCTTGCTAATACTAAGAACGTTTTTATTCCACTGTTTTCCTTTTTCCCTATTCGGTGTGGAGTGTGTCAGCCCCACGTAAAGCAGTCAGAGGACATCTTTCCAGAGTCGGTTCCTCCCGTGCTGGTTCTTGTGACGAGAACTCGGCCTCAGAACAGGCAGTCTCTTTCTGATCGCCCAGCCCAGCTCTTGGGAGCTCACTGGGACACTCATGACACTGGGGGCTCTTTGTTCTCAGAACAAAAGACGGATGAGAGGCCCCTCCTCTGAAGACAGTGGTGAGCAACAGCATCATTCTCCAACTGCATTAACAGCTCTGCAGCAGCCGCCCAGCCGCCTGTTCCCTGGCAGACTTCCTCCGTCCCCTTGGCCCTGTCACTCCCGCGGAGATGGGATTCCGCTCTACGTTCTCTGCCATAGCTGCTTTCTCTCTCTCTCCACCCCAGTTCTCATTGTTCTGGGAATCTCTTCAGGATGCCCTAGGATGCTCACCATGGTACCCTCTCTCGTGTCTTTTCTATTGTCTCGTGTTGATCAAAGCAGTCATGACCCCACCTTTCCCCTTGGTCCCCTTTGCTCAGGGTCTTGTCACCTTATCAAAGTCCTCAGCCTACACAGGAAAACACACTCACCTGGTCACTCCTTGTCCACTTACTGAGCACTTGCTGGGTGCCAGGCCCTGCTCTGTAGCAATAAACAGGTAACAGGTTCCTATTGGCCACTGAGGTGACAGAGGCCACAGACATCAGCACAGACCCCAGCTGCAACCGTACCACAGACCTAGTCATGGCCCTCGGCGGCAGCTCGGGTCTGGACATCACGATGGCCCCAGGTGACAAGCAGACCTCCCCATCAGCCCACTTCTGTCTTCATTTCTTCCTTTTGGCCTCTTTCCACAGTGCACGAACTCCCCCGCCCCCACTTCTCTTTCTCCCCCCATTTCTCCACCATGTATTTGTTCATCATAACAGGACCCACCTGCCCGGTGCCACAAGGTACCGAGTGGGCCCATGGATGTCTTACCTCCAGTGTGGACCTTCAAGGGTGGTCTGTGGGTGGCTAGCACCCACCTGCGCGGCAGGCCGTGGATCGCTGCTTAATCTTAGGGTCTTTTTCATCACTACGGATCAATTTTGAGTTAGAAAGACTAGCTGTAGGGCTACACAGCCCTCAACACAAGACTACTCAGACTTTACACTCATTTTCCTGTCCTAACTCAGTGGTTCTCAACCTTCCCATGGCTGCGACCCTTTAACATTTCCTCATGTTGTGGTGACCCCCAACTATAAAATTATTTTTGTTGCTACTTCACAACTGTAATTTTGTTACTGTTATGAATTGTTACGTAAATCTTTTTGGAGACAGAGGTTTGCCAAAGGGGTCATGACCCACAGAACCACTGCCCCAAATGAACGCATTTTGCAGCTACAGGGAGCATGTGACCCTTGGCTAGCAACATGTTACAGTGTGAACCTAAGTCCTTTCCCCTTTGGATCCGAGGGGTGAGGCAGAAAGGGAAGGTGACTGACCTTTCCCTCTCACCAGACTTCCCTGGGATGGCACAGCAGCCCTGTATGGGCGGGGAGGGTAGGAGGGTAGGATCACAGCAGGGGCCCAGCCCCCAGCAGCTCTACAGCTGTTCTGTGAGCTCTTTGAACCCATGCAATAATCCCTTTTCTCCCTAAGTAAAAAGTCAGCTCTGGAGGCTAGGAAGCTGGCTCAGATGTTAAGAGCACTTACAGAGCTTCCCATATCCATATCAGGTGGCTCACAGCCAACTGGAACTTAAGTTCCCCGGGGATCTAACACCCTCTGGCCTCTGTGGGTTCTTGCACATAAACCGACAAAGGCAGATACACACACACACATACATACATTCATAAAAATACTACATGCCCTCCCCCCAGCTCTGGTGCTTGGAATACAGCTCAACGGAATAAAGCTGGGGCAGCTAAGTACCCCTGTTCGGTGGGAGATGTTCTTGTACACTAGAGATTTGTCACTCATATTGGCTTAATAAAATGCTGATTGGGAAGTATAGGCAGGGTGACCAGACTAAGAATTCTGGGAAGAGGAAAGGCAGAGTCAGTCACCAGTCAGACACAGAGGAAGCAAGATGAGAATGCCTAAGGAAAGGTACCAAACCACGTAGATAAACACAGACAAGACTTATGGGTTAATTTAAGTTGTAAGAGTTAGTTAATAATAAGCCTGATCTAATAAGCCAAACAGTTTATAACTGTTATAAGCCTCTGTATGTTTAGAACTGAATGACTGCAGGACTTGGTGGGACAGAAAGAAACTGTTTATATCCCTGCAACCCCAGAGTTTGGAGACAGAGAGTGGAGGATCTCAAGAAATTGTCTGGCCAGCCATTCTAGCAGAATCAGTTGGCTCCAGGTTCTCTCTCTCTCTCTCTCTCTCTCTCTCTCTCTCTCTCTCTCACACACACACACACACACACACACACACACGTACATGTGTACATGTTAGCTCTTATCCTTTCTAAACAAGGACCCAAAACACACATTTTAAACCAATAAACTAAAAGTAAACCAGTATCAGTAACATGAAATTATTTTAATATCTTTTTCTCCATGATTGAATATACAAAGATAACGGAAGTAATGTGTTCTTCTGCTGTAAAGATGGATGGAATATATCAAAATCCACTCGCTGGATTTTCTTTAAATAGTCCTCTAGAGTAACCTGGAAAAAAGAGAACGGTGGTTACTAGATAAAATGATCAAGTTTCCCAAACAAACTAGAGAAAAAGGACAGCTAGCTTGGTGGCCACACCCTCAATCCTAGCACTCAGAAAACTGGAGAAGGCAGATCGCCATTAGTGTGACGTCAGCCTGTGCTAATGGTCAAATCAAGGCCAACCTGGGCTAAAGAGTTAAGAGTAGTGAGGGAACTAGGGCAGGAGTGTGAAAACCACCCCAATTTGGGCCACACAGTAAGACCTTGTTTCATAGACAAAGGGAAAGTCCAAGCCTAAAACGACTTTAGTTTCCCAAGGTGATAAGCACATAAGAAAAACATTTCTTTTTCCCAAGACAGGGTCTCTGTATGTAGCCCCAGCCAGCTGAGAACTCATTATAGAGACCAGGCTGGCCTTAAGCTCATAGAGATCCTCCTGTCTCTGCCCTGTGAGTGCTGGGATTAAAGCTGTTGTCTTAGTTAGGATTTTGTGCCGTGAAGACACACAATGACCACAGCTCCGGGAGGCAGGAAAACAACCAAAAGGAGTTCCGTGGGGACAAAAAAAAAATACTAAGCATGAGTCCCAGTCTGCGCTGAGTTCTCCAGCCTCCTCCACTGAAGCACTCACCGTCTGAAGAAAGGCGGGAAAGGCCTCTGCAGGAACACTTCTGTGGAAGGACCTTGCCTTGAAGGAAGAGGAAAACACAGAGGCTGGTTGGAAAGCTTCTGAAACAGTCTGAGGGTGAGCACGAAGCAGCGGCAGTTTAAAGACGTGACCAGGGCCTCTCATGAAAGCAAGGAAACAGCTTGTCTTCGCTGTTGTATAAAAGCCTCTTCCTTCGGGGCTCGGTGGGGATTCCAGGGCCTTACATCTCACACTGACTCTGGCTCCAGACTGGCCTCCTCCTTAGCTTGAGCACAGATGCCCTCCCTCCCAAGCGGGGTTCCTGCCTAGTGTCTGATGAGTTCATGTCTTCTCATCAATGACTTCACCTCGATCAAGTATCAGCTACTCTTCCTGGAATTCGAATACAATAGTCCCTGAGATAAACCCTGGGAATCCAATGAACACTGGGACAAAGATCCCTGAGATAAACCCTGGGAATCCAATGAACACTGGGACAAAGACTGCAAAGGTCAGAATCCATTAGTACACTACAGAAAGGCTCCCCATATAAAAACCCGTAGCATCTTAGATAGGGCTCCTATTGCTGTGAAGAGACACCATGTCGGCCGCAACACTTACAAAGGAAAACATTAAATTAGCGCTGGCTTACAGATCAGAGGTTTGGTCCATACTGTCACGGCGGGACATGGTGCTAGAGAAGGAACTGAGAGCTCTACATCCAGATCTGCAGGCTGCAGCAGGGTCTGCGTCCCACTGGCCAGACTTCCAGGTCGGCTTCCACAGTGACACACCTATTCCAACGAGCTCACACCTCCAAACAGTGTCATTTGCTATGGGTGAAGCCTTAAAACACGTGGTCCACGAGGGCCATGCCTTCTTGTGGATCATTTAAAGATGTAAAGGTGTGTTAGATTTGTTTATACTGCAGATTATGACTTTAACTGTGTAAAGGTGTGTTATATTTGTTTATACTGAAGAATATTTAACTGTGTGAAGGTGTGTTACATTTCTTTATACTGCAGAATATGACTTTAACTGTGTGAAGATGTGTTATATTTGTTTATCCTGGAGAATATTATTTAACTCTGAAGGTGTGTTACATTTGTTTATACTGCAGATTATTACTTTAACTGTGTATATAATTTTAAATGTGCTACATTTGTTTATTTTGCAGAATATTATTTAACCGTGAAGGTATGCTACATTTGTTTATACTGCAGAATATTACTTAAACAGTGTAAAGGTGTGTTATATTTCTTTATCCTGGATATTAAACTCTGAAGGTGTGTTATATTTGTTTATACTGCAGAATTTTTAACTGTAAAGGTGTGATAAATTTGTTTATTCTGCAGATATTACTTTAACTGGGTAAAGGTGTGCTACATTTGTTTATACTGCAGAATATTACTATAACTGTGTGAAGGTGTGTTATACTTGTTTATACTGAAGAATAGTTAACTGTGTGAAGGTGTGTTACATTTGTTTATACAGCAGAATATGACTTTAACTTTGTAAAGGTGTGTTACTTTTGTTTATCCCGGAGAATATTATTTAACTCTGAGAGTGTGTTCTATTCTCTTATACTGCAGAATATTTAACTGTGTGAAGGTGTGTTACATTTGTTTCTTCTGCAGGTATTACTTTAACTGGGTAAAGATGTGTTATATTTAAACTGCAGAATATTACTTTAAATGTGTGACGGTGTGTTCTAGTTGTTTATACTGCAGAATATTATTTAACTGTGAAGGTGTGTTATATTTCTTTGTTCTGGAGAATATTATTTAACTCTGAAGGTGTGTTATATTTGTTTATACTTCAGAATATTTAACTGTGTGAAAGTGTGTTATACTTGTTTATACTGCAAAATATTATTTAACTGTGAAGGTGTGTTATAATTGCTTATACTCCAGAATTTTATTTAACCATGATGGAGTGCTAAATTTGTTTATACTACAGAATATTACTTTAACTGTGAAAAGGTGTGTTGTAGTTGTTTATACTGCAGAATTATACTATAACTGTGTGAAGGTGTGTTATATTTGTTTATACTGAAGAATATTTAAGTATGAGAATGTGTGTTACATTTGTTTATATGCAGAATATTACTTTAACTGTGTATATAACTTTAAATGTGCTACATTTGTTTATACATAGAATATTTAACTGTGTGAAGGTATGTTACATTTGTTTATACTGCAGAATATTACTTAAATGGTGTAAAGGTGTGTTATTTCTTTATCCTGGAGAATATTTAACTGGATATTAATTAACTCTGAAGGTGTGTTCTATTTGTTTATACTGCAGAATATTTAACTGTGTGAAGGTGTGTTACATTTGTACTGCAGAATATTGCTTCAACGGTATATATAACTTTAAATGTGCTACATTTGTTTATTTTGCTGAATATTATTTAACCGTGAAGGTATGCTACATTTGTTTATACTGCAGAATATTACTTTAACTGTGTAAAGGTGTGTTATATTTCTTTATCCTGGAGAATATTATTTAACTGAATATTATTTAACTCTGAAGGTGTGTTCTATTTGTTTATACTGCAGAATATTTAAGTGTGTGAAGGTGTGTTACATTTGTTTATACTGCAGAATATTTCTTGAACTGTGTGAAAGTTTGTTATATTTCTTTATCCTGGAGAATATTATTTTACTCTGAAAGTGTGTTACAGTTGTTTATACTGCAGAATATTTAACTGTGTGAAGGTGTGTTACATTTTTTCTGCCTTTGCTCACTATGTAAAGATGTGTTGCTTTTATTTATGCTGTTTTTTTAAATCATGTAAAGATGTGGTGCATTTGTTTCACTTTGCAGCTTAAGGAACCTGGTTGATCTAATAAAGAGCTGAACGGGCAATAGCTAGGCAGGAGAGGGACAGGCGGTGCTGACAGGCAGAGAGAATAAGTATGAGAAGAAATCCAGGCTCGAGAGAGAAGAAAATGAGGGAGAAAGAGAGATAGACCTGGCCCCAGAAGCCAGGCAGCTGCCAACGAGCCAGACAAGAGAAGCAGGAAAAGGACATCTAGAAAGAAAGGTAAGAAGCCCAGAGGCAAAATGTAGATAAAGAGATACAGGCTAAGTTAAAAGAGTTAGGTAGAGAGGAGCCTAAGCCTGGCCGAGTGTTCATAACTAATTAGAAGTCTCCATGTCATGATTTTGGAGCTAGCTGGTGGCCGAAAAGAAAGCCTGGTACAAGCCTATTCAAACCACCACACACAACACGCCATAGGAACAGCCCTGTGTAGTAGTGACGACTTCCTAAACAACCGGGCAAAGGAGCAACTTACATGCTTTAGGTGCAAGTGTGCCTGGCTGGCAATGTCATATATGACATCCCTCACATTTTTATCATGGTTCCTCCGCAGAAAGTCCTCTTGAGAAACACCATGCTGTGAGGAAAATACAATTTTAGGAATCTATAAGCACACTTAAAATCAATATTGCTTAAGAAAACAGGCAGAGACAGGCAGCATGTATAGGGTAATGCCTAATTATACACTGTGTACAGGTGTGCAATGGTTGGTCGTCCCTAATTATACACTGTGTGTAAGTGTGCAATGGTTGGTCGTCCCTAATTATACACTGTGTGTAGGTGTGCAATGGTTGGTCGTCCCTAATTATACACTGTGTGTAGGTGTGCAATGGTTGGT